CTTGATCAGCTAAAAGGTTTCCAACAAAACAAAAACCCTGTGATATCTCTGATCCACCTCAGGAGGAAGTCCCAGTCATGAGATGAAAAGGTCTGAAGAGACTTTGAACGAGAAACACGACAAGCAGCAGCAGGGAGAGCAGAGACGCCTCATGATTTTTTTTTCAGGTTCCTTCTAATTGCAGTAAAACATGCATCATCATCATCATCATCATCAACACAATAACTTGTCATCTGAAGCACTGAAGGCATTTGGGCAGCTTGCATCAGGACCGCGACACCAAGCTCAAACAGATATCATTGGGTGTTGAGGAATAGCTCAACTCCAACCCTCAAATCAAATTAACTCTCAAGAATGTCAATAAATATAAACCAATAAAACTTTTTTTTTTTAAAAAACCCCTTCAGAAAGTCAAAACTAAGAGCTGGAAAATGGTCAGAGTAAATGTCAGTTTTCCAGTCGTCTCCAACCAGTTGCAGAAATGTGAGTTTGTAAAACTTCAGCTGAATCCGTTAGACGGCCTCAGACATATGCAAAGTAATACACAAACAAACGTCGGATGTTTGTGGAAGTTCTTGAGCGAAGACACAAAGCTCTGAGTTTGTTAAAATAAGAGTCAAGAGAAAGCAGCTTTTTCTCCACAGCATGAAGTTCATTTAGGCGACATTTGATCTGGGAGACGCACAGGTGAGAAACACACACTGAGGGGTAAATGTGGGGCTGCCAAAAGACCAGACTAGTGAGTAAACTGAAGTAGTTTCACCGTAAACTTAACAACAAGTCTACCTCTAAATCTTCACCTGTTTCTCCAATCACAGATTAATTTCTAGGAACATCTGATTAGTAATCCATGACTTTTAGTTTCCCAGGGTATAAATACGATGTGACACAGCCAGCCATTCTTTTAGCAACTGAACACCAGACTGGACGAGGATCTATATTTATCTTGCTCTCACCCACATTGAACTAACCTAAAAAATAAAAATAAAAATATACCTCTGAAGCTCATTCTTAGGAAACTGCAGCAAAATGTGACATCTTATCACCCAGGCTCTCTGTGGTCTGATTGATTAAAAAAAAAAAACATCAACCTGTTCTCTCCTACCATCACAAAGACAAACAAAATGTAAATCTGTGATTTGAGAAGAAGATTGTTAAAAAAAAAAACTAAAGAAAGAAAAAACTCGT